ATCACCAGTTTATCTGATGAACTTTGTTAACTAAAAGATGAGATTGTCGACATAAAGGAGACTATGAATAAAATGAAGAAGGAAATGATTGAGATGAAGAAATCAATTCAGGGTAAACGAAGTACATTTTACATTATACATTAATATAATTAGTATATGCATGAAAGCTTACTTTAGAAAAAAAGGAGATCATCAGCTTTTTAGATATAAAAACTAAATTTGGATGGATTCTTCTAATTTCCTCATCTTTTTTTGCATTTGCTTGGCTGTGTGAGAGAGTGATTGTCACCTGTACGATAGACTTGAGGCCAAACATTCACAAATGATGTCACACTAGCAACAACTACCTTAACGGGGATTCAAAAATCCTGAAAAACTTTCTCAATATCGATACCAATCCTTTGAACTTGTGGGCATTAGCATATAAAATTAGAACCAAATCCATCCATTTAAGTTAGGAAAGATTATGTTATTTACGAAAAATGTCATCTTGAAAATGTCTTCTCAAGCAGAGCTCCTTTGTCTCTAGGCATGTGCATATAAAATTTGAACCAAATCTATCCAATGGTACTTGAGGTATCAAAGATAATGCTTTTTTACCAAAAATAGTCACAACTTTAAAACTCAGTAAAAATGTCTCCTGGAGTAGAGCCCCTTTTTCTATCATCAAATAATGTTTGAACCAAATTTGTCAAATGGTATTTGAGTTATCAATATCAATGATAACATTCTTTTAAGAAAAATGACAGCCATTTTGAAATTCAGCAGCCATCTTGAAAATTCCTTCTTGAGCAGAATTCATTTGTCCCTAACCATCAACATGTGCCAAATCCATCCATTGGTATTTGAGTTATCAAAAGATTACAGTTTTTAATGAAAAAACGGTGGCCATTTTGAAATTCAGCAGCCATCTTGAAAATCTCTTCTTGAACAAAGCTCATTTGTCCCTAGGCATCAGTATACATAAAATTTGAACAAAATCAACCAGGTGTATTTGAAATAGAGTAGAGGTCCTACACCCATGAGGCATAAGCCTACGGATGGATGGACGATAACGAATGGATGGACAGACAGACTGAGGGATGGCTTTCCTATATCCCCCTTGAACTCCGTTCAGTGGGATAATTTTCTTCACCTTCTAAACAAATGTGTTGCTTTTTCCCTTTATACTTCAGTCACATTAATTTAAATGATGAAGAATTTAATTTCAATGTGTGCACTAATGTATTTTGCAGCCATTCAAAGAAAACTAGGACCAAAGACTGTGCCAAAACCAAGTACATGTAAGTGATCAATTATTACTTCATTGTATTTATGCTGAAATCACGAGTTTGATATATGCCATTATCATATCACAGTCATATTTCTGACTCTATTATTCATGTGTCACAAAAATAAGAAGATGTATTCATCGGCCAAGCTTGTGACATCAGTAATGAAAAGGCGTTTTCTAAAAGATGTATATATTCACTGGCTGTTGCATTTTTTCATCCAGTATAAATCAAAGATCCTTTTATCATTGCCAATTGCAATATGACAATATATGTAATAACCATGAAGCAACGGGGCAGCACTGGGATATTCAACTTTTTGTAGTCTTTAATTCTAAAATAATTTATTTCAATGTTTACATTTTCTCTAGTAATTTCAGAATAAAGGACCCACGGTCCTGTGCTCACACAGTGGGAACCTTCATATTTACAGAAAATTTGAGTTTTTGACGTCAAAATCAGCAATTTCTCGGAAACCAGGTGAACTTGGGAAATGGTGATGATAGGTCAAATAGGCATTATGGATATGGATAAAATGAATGTGAATATGACTCAATCCGAATAGCAGTTTTAATTTGTGCGACCAATGTTGACTGGATGGACAGACCAACGGACGGACCAACGGACAGACGGACACTGGTCGATCCCATAGGCTCACTGTGTGAGCCAATAAGAGAGTGGTGAAAATAAATGTGATTCTAATATGATATGTGACGTCACAATTACTAGAACAATAGATTTATCTATATTCGAGTATGTTTGACCGCTTAAATTCATAAATGCAAAAAGATTTTTTTTGTCTGTTTATCATATTAAAATCCAAAGAACTCGATTTCATGATTTATGGCAAATATATGACCTCAGATCTTATTCTGGCCATTTACAAAGACCTCAATCGCGATTTCAGTCTTTTAACAACGAACAGAATAACATTCTCAGTCATATCAGCAGGTTCACTAGAATTTCTCAGAACAGGCTAAATAAATGAAAACAACAGGCAAAATTAATGGAAATCATAAATTTAACATGGAAAAGTTGAAAAGTCCCTAGAAACGACAGGCGATTTTGTGTGAACAACAGGTGAAAATTGTCGCCTGTTGCCTGCTGCTAATAAAACCCCTGTATATATTGCACCACAAATCATAAAATCATAAAATAATAAAACTAATATTTCATATTATTTTTGGTGAAAACCTGTCACAGGTATATAATAAATATTTTTTGTTTTCCTGATCTAAGATATTTTTTACAGCTAAATATGAGGAATCTTAATATTTCTCAGCATCAGGAAAAACTATTAATTCACGTAAGTTATTTAAATATTATAAATATAAAATCTTGTAGTTTTGGATTATGAAATCTCTTTCATTTGTTCAGTGCTGCTTTTGAGGTTTGTTTCTTGTAACTGTTCATACTTTTTGATGTTTTGTTTTATCAACATATTTCTATAATGCCGCCTTTTATCTTTTTTACATTAACCTTACTAACTCGAAAATATATTTTTTTCCCTGCAAGGATGCCACCAAGAAAAGGAACGTTACTTCGTTGAAGTACCATTTTTGTGGAGAAAAGATGAGGTGGTCTGTGATTATTACAAGTGCATTGTGGGATCCACAGCCTTTACTATCCTTTTGCAGGCA